ACGGGCGAGGACCGGACTCCACGTCCTCACAGGGATGCGCTTGCACTGAGGTTTGTCCACAAAGGCAGAGAGAGATATGCGTGAACACACACACACACACACACACACACACAAACAAAGGTCACATTCCACATTTCAGTAATAGTCTGGGTTTTGCAATTTATGTCACTGTGGGAGAATTAAATCAGCTCTGACAGATTCTCTGCAGCAACACATGAAATATTTCTCTGAGGGTATCTGATAATGAGAAGAATGACAAATATGGGGACACACCTCAGAGTGAATGCACCACTGCTGCAGATGTGGTGTGTGTGTGTGCAGCTGTCACAGTGATAACTGGATGTTTGTACGTCCATGAGTTTCCTGTTCATGTTTTTATATCAGTCTGAGAGGCTGAATGTGAGGGAGACGACACACTCTTGGCTCTGCACTGTCCCAGGTATCACTGTGCGTGCTCTTACTTGTGTGTGTGTGTGTGTACAGATTTCCCATCCCACAGTCCCACATGAGGTCAGTGTGTTTTGGTTGGATCTGTTCCACACAAGCGTCACAGCCCCCGTCAAAAACCAGCAGCAGGAAGAGTCTTGTCAGAGAAGTGAACTCTACTCTAAACCAACACAGACATCCAGCCCTGAAACAATAAACCAGTTACCCACACAAACACACACTGACACACTTAGACATGTACATTTGACTTTAGGAAACAGAGAAAAACCCACCGAACACAGCCTGGAGTTCCTCCACATGAGAAAAACCACCGATGTCTGGGCTTGAAATGCAGCTTGCTTGGTTTTACTCACCAGGCCGGTGGAGGATTGACACGCAACATGTGATTTCACAGCACTGGATACAAACCTTATTAACATGCTCATCTACAACACACACACACACACACACACGTTTAGCCTGACCGGGAGTGTGGACCTTCAGAGGACTGTGTGAGGGTTCAGACCTGGTTTTAGGGTTCAAGTTGGAATCAGATTTAGGTCAGGGTTCGTTGTTGGGATGATTATGGTAAGGCCTGTGACACACCAAGCCAACGGTCAGGCCGTCAATGAGCATCTGTCGCCATCAACTTTGTGATGTGTCCTGCACCACTGGCAATAGTCGGACCCTGCAGTGGATTTTTGGACATTTCAGTATGATGAATCGGTGGCGAACCTCGTTGGAGCAAGAGACCGCTCTGATTGGCTGTTCAGCTTAGCAAATCATTGCATGAGAAGAGAGCAGGCTGGGAAAGCCCGTTCATCCTGCTGCTGTAGTGTCCATGTTTCACCCATTTAGTGCAGTTTCTCCTTGTTTTTTACCTCCACGACCTCCTTTCTTCTTCTACAGCCAAAAGACCAAAGGCAGAGAACGGCAGCGTGATTTACAGCTTCTTATCAGACGTGTTCTCCATTAGAAGCAGCTGCTTTGTTTACATTTGCATTTCTGCTGTCTAGCTCTTCTTCTTTCCCTTTCTGAATGGCGACTACAGATACTGCCACCTACTGGTAGGGAGAGTTACTTCTCCCACACAGTTGCAGGTCGTACGTGCTAGTCGACCATTGGCTGTCATCTGTGATCTGTATTCAAGTGTCACTCTTTCAACCTGATTGGCCCAGACAAAGGCGACATGAGGCAGGCCAGCACTCGGCCTTTGTCGCTGCCGGTTGTTTCACGTTGGCTCGGTGCGTCTCTGCCCTAAGGGGCTGCGGGAGGCTTTAAGGAGAAAGATCAGTGTGTGTTCACTGAAGCTCCTCTCTGAGTATCTGCATTATAAATGTTAATAGTCTCTCTGCGGTTTATCCTGCATTTACAAACACAGCAAGAAAACTGCATTAACTAAGATTTAGCAAAAATTCAGACAAATCAAGTAAAAAATAGAAGTGTTGTCTCTGCTGTACTAATTCTCGCTTTGCCCTTAACGTTCAGAAATTGGAGGGAGAAGTTAGTTAATGCAGTTTTTATGATCTACATTCTGGAGAGATGCATTTTGTCCCTAAAAGGAAGACAATGTGAGTATATAAACTAATCTATGTCTCCACAACACGACACACACTGGTCTAGAGCTGTGAGGACGACACAGTGCATTCCTGAGCCCCTTACCCAAACGAGCCAACACTTTAATATTTATTTGATTTAGTGTTTGGGGACAACACAGACAACAGCGTGACCAACACAGTAATGTTGTGGGTGGGGAAACAAAAAGATTGCGCTGAAAAACCTCTGCAGCTCTGTAGAGCTGAGGGGATCTGCAGATGTGACTGATGCATCTGCAAGATGACGTCCTCCGTCTAAACTCACATCGACTGATTTGGAGATTTGCTTCACATAATGTTCATGTCTCCTCTAATCAAAATGACATTTTAGGACAGAGCCAACATTTTCCACAGTCTATCAGTAACACTCACGCAGTGCGTCTAATGTTTCTGACTGCTCTAATCACATAATGTCGTCAGCACCAGAACACCCCCCCGCTTTCAAACACTGTGTTACAAAGAACAACACAGTGACTGCTTCACTAACTCCACTCATCCATCCAGTCAGCGTGCGGCTCGTTCCACAAACAGCTCACTAAACACCACACAATGAAACCAGCCTCCCTGAACTAATCGCTGCTGGATGGGAAACAGTTGCTGGATTTATTGGTGCTGCTGGTGGCCGAGGGAGAGGACGATGTGTTAATGTGTCTGGGAGCGGGGGGTTAACTGCACCGTGTGTGTGAAGCGCTCTGAACTGATTTTAAGGTGAAACAGACCTGTTTGGATGGCAGCTGAGACAATAACATTTTTATGGAGCTGAACATTTTCTCTGTCACATTTGAAACAAAACACAGATTATCAGGTTATCTTGTAGCGTTCACATCCACATTGAGTGAACAAGGTTCATCCACAGTCTCCCGTTTCTAGGACAACGCAGCAGGACAAACTGTGGCGTGTCAGTCACCTGACCTCCCGTTCCACTGGCTGAAGACCAGACCCTGATAATGACGGGAGGTGAAGATGGTGGCCGAACCTCACCAGGACACATATTATGGGGTAAATCCCACTTCCTTGAACTGATCACTCCTCGCTGGACCCGGTTGTTCCAGCCCACCATCTTGAATGTCCCAGAGCTCTTATTCCTGCTCTGAGCAGCGAGGAGGCTGCTGAAGGAGCCATGAGCAAGGATACACAAGAGCATCCTTCACACAAGTCTTCCTTTCCTGGAAATCAGTTGGTGATTGGACAGTTTAGATGAAGGATTCAAGGAAAAGATGTTTCCTGTCTAAAAACACACTTCCTGGATTTTGCTCTCCTCACATTTTCTCCTGTATCTGTTCCTTAAATCTTAAGTGGGTGGAACTAAGACACAAGGAAAAGACACAACTAAAGGAAAAGTGAATGCATTTAAGGGAATTGGGACTTATCCTCTGTGTCTGCTGTTGACAGTCTCCACCAGAAAAATAACAGTCTACTGAATGTTTACATGTTTCTGAAAAATGACTCGTGTTCATATGCAGACTGACTGTTGTCCCCTAGACACAAAGGCAACACAACAACATAAGTTGTGCAACAAAACCTCTGGTTAGAGGCTGTTTTAAACACTGTGCACTCGTCCACACAACATCACCTCCCGTGTTTGAATTCCCCATTTTACCTTCCTGTTGTGTTTTACTGGAGAAAAGGCCTCTGCTGTTGAATTGAGATGGTAGAACAGAATGAAAAGCCCTCATCCTTCACACTGGAGGACATTTCTATGGTGACAACATCCACCTGATGACTCTGAACCCTGAGTCAAGGAGACACGACTTCCCTGATCTTTATGATACTGGTATAAACCTCTCTCCAGCGCCAGCAACGTCTCCCCTGAGGCAACGACTTTACTGCTGAAAACCTTTAACTGGGCGCAGACTTCCCCAAATCAGACCTGACAGCAGCAACAGGAAATAATCCAACACTTCACTTTCATCATTAACTTGATCCAGTGTGTCTGTTTACAAGTTGGGATGTTAACTGGCAGGAGCTGAGCCACTGAGGAGGGAAAGGAAGTGAAGATATGACAGATGAGCCGTGTCTCTTTAATGGGGCTGCTGTTTGGGAGTTTGTGCTACGACCTCCAGTGAAAGCAGAAACTCACAGAGCAGGAGCAGCTTGAAAAGCTCCACAGTCCAACAACCAGAACTGAGCTTCAAAGCCCGTTCATTTATAAAAAAGCTACGATGAATTACATTCACGATTAATGCTGCTGCTTACATGGGGCGCAAAACATGCAGTAAAGTGTTTGAAGTTAACACTTCACAGGCAATAAAAAATACATCAACTGTAGCAGAAAAATGCAACTGTCTGTCTGAATGTGGAGACGTGGAGTTTGGACCCGTTTCCAAACCAGCACTAAGCCACGAGACGTCAAACTGAGCGGTCAACACTTGGTTTCTACTGACTGTACTCGGACTGTTGTCTGTGCTCAGTGAAACGCTACTTCACCAAAAACTGTGCCCCTCAAATTATTCTACTGTTTTATCATGAGGATGGTGCACTACAGTGGTTCCTAGGTTGGAATCCTGAGGGCTGCATTTATGTCCCTGAAACCCAAAAACAAACAGCAAGGCCAGAATCACAGAGAGATGGATTTTTGTCAGGGACAACACATCGTAGGACTAAAAGCTTGGACTCTTCTTCACTGGGCTGCTGCTGTTCCATTGGGCTAAACCTGACTGCTGTTCACTCGATGGACGACAGAAAAGGTAGGATATTACCATTTTGCTCTGCATGCACCCTTATTGAAACATGAAACAACCTTTTCTGTGATATTAGTATCTTAAAACAGTTTGCACTGTTAAAATCTTTGCTTTTAAACTGGGTATAGTTTGTCAGCACTGACTGATGCTGCTCAGTATGATGGGGTTCACTAGATGAACAATCCACACAATGAAAACAATAAGTTAGCTCCAGGCAACCAGGACTCCTTTCTGACCGTCAGGTGGCAGCAGGACCAACAAGTGGAGCCAATTGTCTAATGCGCAGTGTGTTTCCTACCTGAGCGGGAGAGCTGCAGCCGCGGCCCGGTTTGGCTCCAGGCTTTGGCATGGGGAGCGGAGCTGGAGTCTGCAGGCTGCAGCAGCGGGAGGAGACACAGCAGCAGCAGCATGTGAAGAGACCCGACTCCTCTGGTCGTGGCTTCTTCAGCTGCCTGCGGGGCTGCAGCAACAATCACTGTCATCTCTGAATGACCTTCACGGGTGTGAGTGAGGTGGGAGAAGGTCGGGCCAGCTGGTCACATCACCCTCTGGGCTTCTGCTGAAAAAGTCAGAAAGAGCAGAGATGAAGATGGAAATGTTGCTGTTTCATTTTGTTAATTCTTCTATTTGACCGGTTTAATGCTTTTTCTGTTACGAGTGATGACAACATGTCTCAACATCCAACAAACTCAGCTGTAAGCTCAATGCTAACATTAGCATTTTAGCATTGCACTGAGGTCGACGTCCATTTTCATCCTAAGCTGTGTTATCATGTTGGATAAGTAGAAACTCTAGAAGAAGTCACCAAACAAAGTGTAATTCCTCCTCTAGGCCGTGAATGCTGTTACAATGTCACAACAAACCAGCTCTCACTGATACACAGCTCGCAGTTAGACAGACACGCTGCAGATTCCAGTAAATGAAGTCAGTGATAGAGGTTAGAGATAAACTATTATTGGAATTTAAGATGTTTACATCATATTGGAGGAGACCAGACTCGAACCCTGGAGGTTCTTAATCTGAGAAAACACTGGCTGAGGTTCTGCTGGCTTCTCACACCATCACAATGTGCAGAGGTCACATTTATAACACATTCCTAAACCAGAGCTCAGGTCAGACCATAGCTCACGTCTTTGCCTGGTGATTTAAAAAACACACTGCAACATGAGAATTTAATGTTTTTAAAATTAGTGTGACAAGCGAAGACACAGCCTGAAGTATTTGTATTATATCTATTGAATAAAAAAGGGACCTATTTATTTACCAAATTGAGTTTGGTCAAACAAATTAAATCTTGTCTTTTCAAAACCACGATTGTGAATCTGATACTCACCGTTAATTAAATTCCACCTTGGACCAATATGTTCTGGGAGACATGGTCAGACAGCCCAGTTTAAAGGCTAATCCAATCACTGCACATTAATGCTAAATAAACAAACCAGTTTTGCATTTTGGCTTGTTCCCACATCCCGTCTGCACTTTGGGCGTGTGCGGCCACAGTGGGCTGGCTCTGCTTGGGTGGGAATAAGGGAAACAGGTCGATTCATCATTTTGTGCCATTTACTATTGTGTTGACTGGACAATTAGTTTAGTTTGAGACACACACCCGTTCTTTTTGGGAGCAAGACATCCTGACTGAAGGAGAGTGCCTTTGTGATCCTTTTGTGCGTCTCTGTGGCCACGTTGTGATTGACACTGTCTCAGCCTCCTGATTGCTCTGGGCCCCCGGGCCTAACACACAGCCGTGGGGAAAACACACCAATTGTTGGACCTGAAAAGTTTCTGAAATGTAAAGATAATTCCCCCACTTGAACTACATCCTGACCATAAAATGATGTCAGGTGGGACATGTCCACATACAGGCTCATTTGCCAGGATCGCTATCATAACTTCTCATAATCTCCCAGGGCGACTGGCTGGCTAGCATCTTGTCAGCAGGTTTTAAAGGGCTCAGAAGGTTGGAGAGCTGCCTGCTGAGAGAGCACAGACAGTCGGGGCGGTTTCACTTGGCTGCTGCTCCTTTTTTTAAGATTTATTTTAACTCTGCAGCGCGACACCGAGACTGATGTTACCACAGTGTGGAAGGCATCTCGCCAACACCAGAGTTCCATACCTATATTTTTACTGTTTTGGGTTTGATCCTCTAAACAGCGAGTCAGTGTCCGGTGCCGCTCTTCAATTCAAAAGGCTCTGTTTTCATTCTGGAAAGACGACGACTTAGATCCATATTTCAGAGTCTTGAAGCTAGTATTAGCTTCAAAGCAAGTGTGGATGACTCATAACATAATGACAGCCTTTAACATCCTGTTATCCACCAAATGGCAGCCTCAGGATATAATCCTTTCAAATTAAAAACCATTCCCTTGTGATGTACTGATGACAGGTTGTCCTCTGTAATGCTGTGTCTGGCCTTCTAAAACCATGGAAACACTGCTGGGACACAGCGTGTCCTCGAGAGCTGATGATGAGAAACTGTTTAAGCTGTGTTCAGTGTGTTTTTGTATATTAATAAGACAATGACAACAACATAATTAAAGGATTTGTTTCCTAAGACTGAAAAAGAGGAGAGGGAATAAATGTCTAAGTAACTTTGGATCATAACTGTTGTGAAATATAACTGTGTCAACAGCACGTTTCACGTCATCACTGCTGAACACTCGACTCGAGGAAATGACCTTGTCAACATGGAGACAGAGGAGGAACAAACTGTCGCTTCCTCTCATCAGAGACAGAACATCAGAGAGAAACTGTGGAAGAGACAAAGGAAAGATCAGCAGAGATAAAAACATGTCTGTCTAACTCATTGAACTTGCAACTGCGTGTGTTTGAGCTCTGTCTGGGGAAACTTGGGTGTTGACAAGAGTTTTTAAATAAAATGTCAAGGAAACCCAGCGTCTGCAGGCTCACGATGCAGCAGGGGACCTGGAATACATCTGCAGGGAAATTCGCCATGTTCTGTTTGTGTGACCTGCAGGATGAGTGATGCTTTGTGAATGGTTTGTCATTTTGGACTGTGTGACCATTTGAACCACCACCAGGGAGCTGCATCGTGTGGCTGGAGAAGGAGACTGACGACTTCTCCACTGACGACAGAACAACCTTGTATTTTTTCCAGTAATAGTGGAGCACAGGGACGTTTGGCTCCAAACATCAGGAGCAGCATCACAAACTTATGCTGACTTGGTGTCTTTTCTAAAGTAAGAAGTTGAGATGGATGTTTAATAACCAGTAGCCGGTGCAAACTGAAGACCATCACTGATGTTTCAGCTTGGACATGTTTGTTACTGTCTGTGTTGCTAAACCGCTGACACACGTTCACAGCTGCAGCCTCACTCAGTAATGTTGCTCAATGTTTGTCTCGGTGCCCTGAAGCTCAGCCTTCACACAAGCACAGGAACACACCATAACTGTGACCGATCTAAGGGTAAATACCCACAGAACCACCTGAGCCTCAGGCTGGCGACACGCTGAGCTCTCTGGATGGTTGCACGCAGAGGTGCACGAGGCTTGTTGAGGAAAACAGTTCCCATGATTCTCAGCTTGCCTCTTCCTCTTGCACCATGGTGCTGGCGCTTCACAATGAGTAAACAAAACAAGCTGTGTCACATCCAGGTTTTCAACCACGTCTGGACTCGCTGCACATTTAAAGGCAGCCAAGAATCACAGCTTTCAGTTTTATGGTTCCTTTGTTGTGACGAGATGAAGAAAGCTGGATGCAGAGGAAGAGGAGAGGATGGGAACGTTGGAACTTGAATAGAGAGAGGAGGACAGGGACACTAGCTGTTCTGTGACACAGCGACCCTGTGACCTATGCCCTTGAACCCAGCGCTCCTGAAATAGGCTGTTTGTGCTCTGAAAAGTCAGCTCTTTGTGTGGAGCTTCCTATGTGAGTGGAGGAACAAGTTTGTTTAAAAATTCTAAAATGAACTTTCTAAATAAGGAAAACCTGTCCTCAGCATTTCATGTGTTAAAAATAAAGCAAAATAAAGTTTGTGGAAAACAATTCCACTGCTTTGGTTTCTGCTTCATGCGTCTGCTCACCGTCTCTGAATACTCAGCTTTTCTGGGCCAAAGCGATGAGAAGATTTAATGTCATTAATGAATGAAGCTGTTTTTAGCCAGTACTCCAAACAGGTCAAGTCTGTCTGCATCATATGTGAAGGAACATAAAAGTGTTCAGTGCAACAGGAGCAGATGCATGATGGGAGACAGCGCCTGCTCCTTTACAACCTCACTGTGTCAGACCTCTGGATACCTGAACTGCTCAGTGCGATATAAACCCCAATGTGTCCTGCTCCTGGTCCTGGGTGAAGTGGTTTTATTGTGTTTACAGGAGGTGAAAATGTGCCTGGCCACTCGAGAGGAAGCTGAAAAATCGGATTTTAACTCCCTGGCTGAATTATCAGCGCAAAGCTGAAACAGAAGCCTGACTCCATTTCTCCAAGCTATTCTTCTTCTACCTTTTTGTGTTGAATCCCTTTTATTTATAAGTGAATATCAGGGTTTTCTCACCTTCCGCCTGCTCGCTGTTTATTCTCCTGCTCCACTCCGCCAGACTTTGGCCTTTTATCTCTGTCTGCTCCTCCCTTCTCCCCCAGTTTCTCCTCTCCCATCTTTTATTTCTCGGTCCTCCTCTCTTCCTCTGTGACTCTGTGCGCCCACCAGCCAGAGGAGGTGACAGCTTTACAGCTCCTTTCTGCCAAACTTCAAACAAACACAACTAATCCTCCACATGATTTAGTGCCTCCCCACTGATCGCTGCCGTATTAGTTGATCATTAAATCACGCTAATACGACCCTGGTTTCTTGCGTCTTAATCCACTCTCTCTCCTTTTATGTACTGCTGACTGTTCTGTGTCCAGGTCACTAATCTAAATGTCGTCATCCTTTCCCCTCCACCTGACAACACCCTGTGACAGTCTCCAGCTGCACACACATGCAAAAGCCGCTGCAAATGTTAAACCTGTGCAAATACAGCTTTTTCCTATCATCATGCACCAGTGTGTTAATATTCCTGTTTACTAAATCTGTCTACAGTTTGAATTACATTTCTCACGGGAACCAGACAAACACTTATCAGGGGTGTGTGTCAGTCTGTGTGAACATGAAGCTGTGTGGATCAGAAACGGCTTCTAACCGCTGGCTTCAGATCTGACCTGCTCAGCTCTGACTCGGGCTAGTTTCTTTTGCTAAACAGCTTCTAGGGATGTGAAGAGATTTAGAAAGTCTGTTTGCAGACTCTACTTCCATGTACTACCGATGCTCTTCTGTCATTTAGATTTCTTTACACAGGGCAGGATGGTTGATCACATGTGTGTTACAACAACACCCTGTTTCCAGTTAAAAGAAATCAGAGTATGAAACCTGCGGTCAGACAGGGAAGGCCAACCAGCGGTATCATAAAGAACACAATGGTGAATGATATAATTGTTTCCATGAATAAACCTGAGGGCAGAGAGATAAACGGAGTTGATATATGACGTCCAGATAAACCGCAACTGCTTCAACAATCCTCTTTATGCGGCTCAGAGGGACGCTGTGTTTGTTTAATCTGCT